GCTGAAGGCAGCTCATCCGAAATGCGATCTATGGAAATGCCATTAAAGCAATTGACGAACGGTTGTAATTTCATATACCAAACGTGGTTTTTAATTAGAAAATATCATTAAATGGCAAGATCAGAGTTGTTGAGGAGTAGAGTAGAAGTTGATGAGGTAGAAATATTTTTTTTACCTGAGTTCGGCACTGGCTTCTCCGCCCGCGTTTACGGCAGTGCAGCGGTATTGGCCTGCATCGTCCGGCGTCACGGCTTCTACAGCCAAAACAGGGCCCAGTAACCTTATCTTGGACCCGCCAGAACCAGCAAAGGTTCCGGTCCTGATTGCGAATACCATCTGGAATAAAAAATAACATATAAATATATGATACAATAATAGTAATAAAAATGCAAATGTAAATGAAACTAGTCGTAAGTAGTATTTTGCCTTGAGGCAAGTTGCATAAATTTTCCGATATAAAATTAATCATTGAGAATCGACATACTGCTATTTAGATAAAAAGCTCAACTGTTTATTTCATAAATAGAGCTACAGCTAAAGATTTTTTTTTCCATTTCAAAAACATATATTTCAATAAATGTATATATCAACATTTCATTGAGCTTTATCTGGATATTTACTCGTAGGTATAGTATCCGTCATATCTACTCTAGTAAAACATTAATAAGTATTTAGAATATAAAATATTTATATTATATAATATATTTAGAATATATAATTGTGTGACAAAAAAAGAAGGAAAGGAAAATGTTTCCAAAAAAAATCAGATAACAATATTACTAAAGAATGATTAACAATTATCAATATAGGTATTTTAAGCTTACTTATAATATCTGTATTTGTATAAATTTATGAACATGTTTACCATATTTCATTTAATCTATTCCATGATCTAAGAATGTATTTTACTTAAGTGTGAATGTCAACTGTAATCAGTAGCTACCTACAAAACACTTGCAATTCTGATTAGAATTGCATAAGAGCATATGGTAAAATTTCGACAATTTTTTATAATTCAATCGCATATCGTAGGCCTATAATACTTTAGTATACTATTTCAAACTTCTATATTTATTGTTTCATCAAAATCGTCAAACTTTTTCGATAGATTTTTCAAGACCGATCTTTACCAAAAATATTCAACGCGATTCTCAATCAATATCTTTCAGAAAGTTTTTAAATTTTTGAAATCGATTCAAGATCGTGAACTAAAACGTGGATAATTTATTTCACTTTTCTGCAAATTACAAAAAAATGGCTTGGCTGATTGATGCACAAAACTGTCAAACGTTAGTCCTTATGGAACTCCATCAAATGCTTATTTAGGATAAATAAATATATATTTAGTAGTGTAAAGATATCAACATTCAATATAACAAAAGAATACATTAGAAATTATTTCAAAAGATATGATGTTAAGAAATGATATTACGAAATGTGACTATTTGCTATGCAAATGAATAATTTCTAAGTATGTTTTTATATACATGTAAGATTTTGTCAATAGCTTTTTTGTTTCATCATAATAAGTGTGTGTTTATACTATTACTTACATGTAAAATAGTTCAATAACGAATTGAACGATTTTATAATGAATAAGTTACTAAATGACTTTTAAAATTTTGAAATCGGTCTAGGCTTTTTTACACACACACATATTTTTCTCATATTTGATCACATTTCATTAAAAATGACTTGAGACATCGAGAAGAGGTAAAATCAGTAAATCATTTTTTATGCAAACTTTTGCTTCGGCAAGTTAAAAATCAACGTATTTTTATAAAGCAGTTCAAGATTTATTTGAAAACATGTACGAAATATTCTGCTTATCTAGAGTTACAAAGAAAATTTTTACTCCAAAGAGCAAATCTTCTAAAAATCTTCATTTTCAAGCATAATCGAGACCACAGTTCAGCAAAATGCAATAACCACTCTTAATCATGAATTATATTTATTAACATATAAAATAGAACAGGTAAGTTTTATAATAAAAGTGAAGATACTTTTACAAATGTATACTCGTATATACATAAGCACATTCAATATACCTACGTGAATTTACAGATGTTTGAAATAATTAACCTATAATATAGTGAGTTTCATGCATATAAAATTCTCAAAACTTAAAGTGAATCCGCATTATAAAAACTTTTCCTGTGACAGCCCGACCGTCGAATTAAAATTTATGAAGACTCGCGGTTACATCGTAAAGATGTCCCTATTAAATTTTAATTCTCATGTAACCGTCGGTAAGCTAATAATGCTTTTCCCCCGAGCCTAGGATATCACAAAATGTCCCCAAACCATCCCCAACAGCAACAACCCTTGAGAAAAGTCCCAGTCCCGGTTGAATAATTAACACCCACGTAGGGTAATAAAAAGCGGAAAGAAAATATAAGAAAGATGAAGAAAATATGCTCGCGGCCCGTTGGGAAAACTTAGAGATTTAAAAATGAAAAACACATCAAATTTTCCGTAATGCAGAAAACACAGCGGAGGATTCTAAGATGCGAAATTAAATATAACGTCTTTCAAAAGGTTTTGTTTTGTATTGTTGCAGTTGTCTTTTGTGTTGTACTTTTGAGCTTAATTTAATTGCATGTGAAATTCTTACCGGGGTAATTGTTGAAGTTTTGAACAAACATAAGGAAAATTGCTTTTCTCTAGATGTAGAAAAGAAATTTGTAATTAATTTATATATTTTGCAATGCAGGAAGCTTAATTGAAGTACGTTGCTTGAATGCAATAAATAGTAAAATATCAAAGTATAAAAAGTTGAGTTTCTTGTTCAGGAAAAAAATGTTTTTTAACAAATCTATTTCATAATGAAAATTTTTACTATTTAACACATATTAAACAAACAAATGTGGTCAGTAAAAATCCAACATTGTAAAAATATGTTTTGCAATTTTTCTAAAATTTGGTATCTGGTCTTTTTTACCCCATAGACGCGGTGAAAAGGAATCCGGAACGTAAAAATATCTACTATTTTATTTTGAAGCAGTTTTATAGAACAATAGCAGTATTAATTAACCAATGAGATGCAGATTAATTATTAAATTGGACAACAATCTTGAAAATCATAATCTAAATATGTAATTTTTAACATAACATAAATCTTACTTGGTATTAAATATGTGTATATTTACATAACATTGTGCATTATTTTATAGCAAGCTAAATATCAGTTTCGTATTTATGAAATTAAAATACTATAAAAATTAAGAAAGCTTAATTTTTTTTTGAACAGGGGTGCAAAAAGTTTGGAAATCATTGCTTTAAACTAAGATATCAGATTTTATCATTAGAATTTTAATGGCTAAGTTGATAAACTATACGTATAAAAGAGTTATGATTATGATAAATTTTAAAAATTCTAGGAAAGAGGAATTGTTGAGCTATTTTTCATACCAATAAGAGCTTTACTTTTAATTTTAAAAAATACCATTATATGAGACAATCATACCATTAGTAACACATTTAAGATTTTGTAAATATATAATTTATCAGTTGTTCTAATCAATATATCTAGAATTCACAAGGTCGATATAGGGTTGGGTGAGGTACAAAGGTCCAATTTGACTTTCAGTCATTATACTGCCCAAACCAAATAATCACACGTATCAAACAAACAATTATCAAACTATGTTTAGCAAAATTCCTGTTAGTTTTCAATTATAGAAATATGTCTCTATAATTTTTTTTATTTTTTTTTTAAATTTGTTGTCTGTCTGTTTTATGCCATAAGAAGGGTAAAAAGGGGCAGCCAATAGGCAAACAGATACAAAGTCTTTTCATTGAATTTTACGAAATAATAGCTGCAATATTCAACCAATGGAAAATTAAAATTTTATGGACACATTATTACAAAGACTACATTTAAAAATCATAGTCTGCACTCTGCAGTTCAATTAACTTATAAATTAATAATTATCACAAAATAATTATCACCAGAGTTGGAATAACTATCAATTTATCTCTTGAAAAATTTCTTTTTTTAACCTAATTTTATTATACCTTTGCCAGAGTAAAGGTTCAGTTGGTCCTTTTAACCCCTTCCATATATGAGCTATTATAAATGTTATATAAAAACATCTGTTGAATATTTATAAAACCATATTTAACTAGTTGGTATTAGTTGGTATTAGTATTTTGCCTTGAGGCAAGTTACATAAATTTCCAGATAAATGCCAGATAAATCCAGATAAATTCCAGTGTAAAATTTTGAGAAAACGTCGATTTACGACAAAAAATCTGTTCACACACATACACATACACACAAACACATACTTTTTCCAAATTTTGTCTCATTCGATTCAGAATGGCTTGAAACGTCGAGAAAACGCAAAATTAGGGAATCGTTTTTTATGAAAACAAACTTTACCTTCGGGAAGTTAAAAATTATATTAAACTAAACAATAGTGCTCACTACCAAAAAATCTAGCAATCAAAAAAATACTTTTGGCATAGATTTTCAAACATGGCGGTTTATCTCCTGATAGCGACATTGCTTGATTTGATGCCTGATTACACATCTTTTTCAAATATTGTTGTTAGAAAATTTTTAAGTTTACTTGTTTTTTAAGAATTGATGGTGCACCTTTTTATCTGCAGACCTCTACCCTAACATGAGAATTATCATATGAATCAGGTTTTTGAATTTTTTTTGTCGGGTTATATTTCATGCCAATGCGATTTTTGCTTTACATGTATTTCTAAAATTTTTGAATAATGATCTAATCAACTGTATCTCTCTACAATACATGGGATGAGTATCTAACTATATCTTTCAAAATGCATCTAATCAGAGTGACATGGTAAGTTCGTTGGCTCTGATATCAGCCGCCTGGTTTGACACATGACTCAACTGGAGGAGACGTTCATGTCGTTTCCGTCGGTGATTGCCAGGCAGGAAATTACAATTCGCCCATTCTCTCCCGACGAACAATCCTAGGATAATGGCTAGGTATCACATTGCTAGTTCTATATTAGACGGATTGTGTTACTAGTTTTAAAAAATTTCATACTTTTTTAATTAAATGACTATTGCTGATGTAATGGGCGTCAGTGACTAAGTCAACAAGATGAATTCTTGATGTTTTAAACTTTTAATTTTAGTTAGAGCGAGGCTTAAAGATCCGCGGATAAAAAGGTCACCAACCGATATCTCAAAAACCAGTAAAGCTAAGAATTTTTCAACAGCAATATTTGGAAGAGAAAAAAAAAAGATGTATAACCAGACTTTACCTTAACTTTTACGACGTTTCCATATAGAAGAATAACTGCAATGTTTAAACATCTATAACAAAATTTTCTTTCGTTGTTATTTGTTCTGA